TGAAGCTGCTTATGAAGGTCTTACCACTGAAGTCCATTTTGAAATGTTCAAATTGAAGTCATCCATCGTCCAGGTACGAGTGTCATCTAAGTACGCCCTGACATCTCGATGGTAGTGAGGTTGAGCACCATCTTGTAGGTAAAATCTTTAATCTCCAAACAGCTCTCGAATGGCAGGGAAAATCGATGTCTGAAGCATATCGAGATACACCTGACCAGTTACGGTACTTTCAAAGAAGAAAGGACCAATCAAACCGCGCGATGACAGACCACACCACACATTAAAACCCGGCAGATTCGCTTCCTTGCCCACGTGAACGTGTGGATTTACAGGAGCCCAAGACACACAGTTGTGGCGGTTAACAGTACCGTTCATTTTGAATTGCGCCTCGTCCAGTACCACTTCAATACAGCCTTGCGTTTCTCAAAGAACAACTTTTCAGCCATTGCTGCTGTCTTCTGCTCGCAGCGCGCACACGGCACGACATTCGCGTGACTCATGTGACCTTCACCATCTGTTGAGAAAACATTACACTACACTACCGCGCAAGAATTGTAACTGCATGCCATTTTGTTCCAAATATATTGACTATCAAAGAGAGAGTACATTTTTTGGACCCCCCTGTATCTGCAGGGAAAACATATATCCCTGTAATAGGCCGTGGAGACCCATAGAATTGTGAAACGTCGAGGCTCCCACATTTTCTAGACGGTCGGCTCACAGATGGCGGCGAAGATGTCAGCATTACGCGCCGGCTACTCTTTACCCCCTCCCCCCGGAAGATTCCTGGTACTCATTCCTGTTACAGGCTGAGTCGACCCCAAGACCATAGTGCGCCTGGAAGGATTAGGTCAATTGAAAAAAATCAGTGGCTTGATAAGGAATCGAATCCGTGACCTTCCGGCTTGCATCATAGTGCCTCAGCCAGCTACACTACCACATGCTTCCATGAATAGGCCTGCAGATCTTCATGAAAATTAAACTTTTGCTGTGATTTTTGTCGTCACTGAAAGTAAAATGTTTGTATAAATCCGTGAATCACAAGTCACGCCAGTGATAATAAACGACTACACATTTTCTCGGCATCGGTTTCAGAGTTTTCCCCCGTACAGGTCCATTAGCCTCGTAATTGGAAATAGAGTGTTACGCCCACCAGGATCATAAGGCTCCTTTTGGCCAACGGTAACTCCACTCCGTGGCAACCTTCGGCTTCTGTTTAGAAACTAATTATTTGAAAATGATAGTTGAATGTAACTAAATTCAAATTTTGTTCGGGGGTGAGGTATTACACGTTTGACTCTTCCTCAGTTTGCATTTATAAAGTGTAAAAAAATCTGCATATATTCGCCGAAATACTTTGGGCCTCTGGGTTATCCTGATCATCATCATCATCATCATCATCATCAGCAATCTGTCAAGACGACAGGTCCACAGTCTCTTCCAAAACAATTCCTCCACTTAATGCGATCTAGAGCTTTCTCCTTCAAATGACAGTATCCTCTTCTGTCCCCAAGGTCATCCAGCATCTTCTTACGTCTTCTTCCTCGTCTTCTTGTCACTTCTATCCGCCCATCTATCTTTCCTTCGATAACTTCTTTTAGAAGGCAGTTTCTGCGTAAAACATGACCAATCCAATTAGCCTTCCGTTTTCTTATTTCTTGTAGGATATTCCTCTGCTCACTGACTATAATCCTGATATCCTGATATAAAGAAATAAACATAAGGTCACTATGTAACGTTTCATAGTGTTTTACGCGTGGTGTTGACCCCAAGCCCAATCCAAGCTGGAGGACTATCCCTTGTTGGCCGTCAGCGACTGCTGATTCAGCATATTGGCAGCTGCTTTCCATATCTTGAGGTCGTGTTACCCATCCGCAGCCGTAAGACGTGCCAGGCCATGGTGACAAGGGACCAGCGCTTCTCAAGCTGTACTCAGCTCCATGGACTTAGATAGCTGGTTAACAAGGAATCCCCGATGAAATAGATCCATAATTTTTGCATGGAATGTACAAGTTTCCGGTGTCGGTCCTCCGGCTGGAAGATCACGTACGTGAGGCGACAAATTTCTCGTCATATTCAGACCCTAAAACAATACAGGGTACGAAATCCCTCGGGGAACCCCGACAATAATGTAGAATAACTCTGTAGACCAAATACACGGCTACAAGGGTATTGTGATTCTAAATTACTGTCGGGGTTTCCGGGTGGACTTATAAATTACTCTGTGTATTATTTAACTTATCGTAGTTAGTTCCCAGTCTCCCATGAGGCTTGTGATCTGAATAGACGGGATTTAGAAGGGCGACAATGGGCTCCATGGTTATCACATACCGCATTTACACTCCGTTGCGTATGCAGGCAGATTGTTGTGAATAACATCAAGATCGGTAATGTTGTTCTACTGTTATCATCAGCTTGGTTTTATTCCTGTGCCTCCTTGGTGCAGCAGGGTATGGCGATACAGTGCGATCAACTCGCAACTTCCTGCAAATCGTCGAACCGCTCAGGCAGAGCCGTGGTGATACGGGCTGCTATCGAAATGCCTGTATCATTGCCCAACACGCTGAAAATAACGCCTACTAAAATTACTGCGGATACTGGAAATTCTGTCGTTGTGTGGCGAATGTTAAAGCCTAGCACGGAATTCAGCGTTGCTGGCCACTACCAGTAAGAACAAATCCGAACACATTGCTGACCGAAGAGAAGTTAAATAAAATTGGTACTTGGTGCTAGGTTTGAACGGACTCTATCCTCGAAAATCCCTTTTGAGACGTGTTACGCAAGAGACCGGAGTTTAAGATTTCAGATTTGCTCTGTTTCTGAAAATGAACATCAACGCTTAATGTGAACTTGTTCAGAGGCACCAGGAATGCGTGCACAGGAGTTGCATTCCCAGAGCTTCTCTAATATGCCTCAATTTTATAGGCAGTAGGTGTGTGTTGGTTACGCCAGCAGCCGGGAGGAGCTGCCATCACAAGTGTATAAGCGACTCAGCGATTTGCGGAAAGCAGTAAGATGACCATCCAGCATAAGTCGGGGGTTCCCCCAGTCCCCAAGAATCCCTGTCTGGCGAGGCACAGTTTCGCAGAATTTATTAGGAAGCTTTGCTTAGAGTTAAAAAGCCGACGACGGGCTGCGTAACTGATAGATTAGACTCATCGTAGATCGGGCAACGTCGACCTACCTCTACTAGCCTCAGTACGCCTGATGCCCGAGGCTAATCACTGATGATGATGATGATGATAATGATAATGATAATGAAAATGAAAATATAAGACGACTTCGTCAGTCTTCTGTAATCTTTGAGAAGCATCCACGGTGTCGACATCAGTTTGTGATATGGGTCTCGGAGAGAAGGTATTTATAGTATTAGTTGCAGCTCAAGTAGGCAGACTACTGCTTCATATTGTAATCAGTATGTATGTAATGAATTTTGGAAGTTTGTGGTGTAAATTATTGGCGTTTCATCCGCGAAACGACCATCGAATTGCTCAGTTTTATATCCTGAACGACCGGGTCGCCAAACAAATAACTATATACAGGTGACCGTGACCTGCGCGGTGGTGTCGATTCGGGAAGTTGTGTGCAACTGTGACAGCCGAAATTGCCTAGATAGTACGTAACGGGATTTCGTCAAATTAAATAAGATTACCGTATTTACGCATGTATAGGCCTTAAAATTTTTGCCAGAAATTCAAGAGGAAAACTGGGGTGCGGCTTATATTCGAAATCACACTTCATTTAAAAAAAATTATATTCATAATTAGTAATACAGGGTGTTCTACTCCTGAAATAATATTCCAAGAAAATTATTTTTTCTATAATTTCTGTCTGAAAATTGTGCTCCGGCCTATACACGCACGCGGCTTATACATGCGTAAATACGGTACCTTTACAGTAAGAAATTTTGTGTCAAGTGTGGAAATATTTCGTTGCGTATAATTTGCATCGTAAAGTTTAAATTGGAATGTACATGTTATAGTACATATTCTAATTTAAAACTAGTTAAAAGAACAAGGTTAGCAACTTTCTCTATTAGTAAGTCATGTTTCCTTTGCTCACACTTACGGCTTCTGTATTCTTTTCCCCCTAAAAAACGTGTGAGGAAAATGCATGTTGATAAATTATTACCGAGCTAGTAGATTCAAGCAGCTGTGCTTCTGGCGTATGTTCTTAGCCCCGTTCGAATGTCGACCGGGACTTCGACTATTGTGACGGAGGTTTTTCTGCGTTTCTCCACACAAATGCCGTGATAACTTACATTAGGCCACGACCGCTTCCTCCCACGTCCTTTCTAATTCCCTATTTCTGACGATCGTTAAATAGACTACAAAATAAATTGGCATGAAATATTAATATCTTTATTAACTACAAATATTGTTTATTTCCAAGTTTAACGACGCTTTCTCACATAATGGCATAGTCTTGCTTAACAGGTGTGAGTGAAGTTGGGTAAATATCGAAAGAAGGGTAATGGTTTGCTGTGGGGTAATACCGTAGCATTTGCCTGGAGGAAGTGAGATGAAAAAAAGGAATCCCAGCCAGTTTCCAGGCTAAATATCGAACCCGAGGACTCTCGTGTATGCAGCATTAGCGCTGACCACTGCGTTGTAGCCCTTGGCACTGCAACTTCATCCTGAAACGTTCTACGATTTTCAAAATATTTATTACTAGTATCTGGAAATGTATCGGGTGTTGAGAATATTTGGACCGAAGAAGGATGAAGTGACAGGAGGTTGGAGGAAACTGCATAACGAGGAGCTTCATAACTTGTACTCTTCTCCAAGTATAATTAGGATCATCAGTCAATGAAGATGAGGGGGGCAGGGCATGTAGCACGAATGGGGGAGACGAGAAATGCGTGTAGGATATTGGCATCTCAGTAAGGACTCTGCTACATCGAGTTAATATGTTATACATACGCTTTACCTATAAATGTACGTAGTTTTGTAGTTGCTTCACAGAACCGTTTTAGTAATTTTGTTTCCTTTTATTTTCAGTCTCGTAAAAAGGCAAAGAAGGGAGACAATTTAGATGACCTGAAACAAGAATTGGATATTGACTATCATAAAATTTCTTTAGAAGAGCTATATCAGCGGTTCAGCACAAATCCAGACACTGTAAGTACGACTGTCCAGATAATTGTATATAGCTTGCACCTATTTTTTTCTTTATTGTATGACACTTCTCTGTGGCAAACCCTGTTCTTGATATTCACTTGGATTAACTGTATTAATATAGACGAGGAAAATGCTCAGGGACATACCAAAACAGCATGGGGTTCCTGTTTAAATGTATCACGTTCAAAGATAATATTTCTAGAAATCTTTTATATAACAACTAAATGGTTGGTTCTGATTGTGAAGAAATTTGTAATTTCTGCATACCTCAAAGGAGTCACAGGGTTATCTTCTTAGGGTTTGTTTTGACCCAGGCTTACACATGGTTAAAATGAAATTATGTTGAAAACTGATATATCTGATGGAATTTTCAGGGTTTAACACATGCCAAAGCAAAAGAAAATCTAGAGCGAGATGGGCCAAATGCTCTCACACCACCTAGACAAACCCCTGAGTGGGTCAAGTTTTGCAAAAACCTGTTCGGAGGCTTTGCCTTGCTACTATGGATTGGTGCAATTTTGTGTTTTATTGCCTATTCCATCCTGGCTAGTACAGTGGAAGAACCAGCAGATGACAATGTAAGTAACGTGGAACCTTTTCTGAAAACTTTACTCATACAGATTCAGGTCTGTAGTAATGCCCAGACAGTGGGAAGTATATATATGGATAAATACCGTCTTAAGTGCAACAAATTTTATTNGTGGGAAGTATGTTTAGTGTTCCTGAGGCTGTAGTGTCAGCCGCTGAGAGCACAGGAAACTAGTTGTTATCTTATGCACTAACTAAAAGTGAAATTTATTTACAGCATATTCCTGATTATCTCTGTGTGGATTATTTGGTTTGTGGCTTATCTGTGTGCCTTTTTTATGTGTATTTGTGACTTTGTTTAGGGTCTACACATGGAACTAACTACATTGAGATAAACCTTTCTTGAGAAACCACCAGTTCTGCAGTTACTCAAGAATTTTCCTACATTTTGTGGAACCCAAAGGTTGATTATCATGTTCACAAGAGCCCTCCACTGGTCCCTGTTCTGAGCCAGATAAATCTAGTCCATACCATCCCATCCATTTTAATATTATACACCCATCTGCATCTTGGTCTTTCTGATGGTCTCTTTTCTTCTGGTTTTCAAACCAAATATCCTATATACATTCCTCCTCTTTTGATTCGTGCTACATTTCCTGTCCATTTAATCCTTGAAATGATCATTCTAGTTATACTTGATGAAGAGTATGATCTGTAAACCTCACTGTGTAGTTTTCTCCAACCTTCTGTCAACTCATCTCTCTCCGGTCCAGATGTTCTCCTCAGACACCCTCAGCCTGTGTTCTCCCTTAATATCAGATACCAAATTTCACACCTATACAGAACCACAGGCAAAATTATAGTTTTGTATATTCTGATTTTTACATTTTTAGACAGCAGATGAGAAGACAAAAGGTTTCTGAGCTGAATGATAGTGAGCGTTAACCGAATTCACTTTCCTCTTAATTTCCTCCTAACTCAAATTTTGATTTGTTACTGCCATTCCCAAATATTTGAACTGTGCCACATTTTCAAGGATCTGTTAGATATGCATATATCATGATTTTGCCCTGCATTCTGAGTTGCAAATTTTCATGATCTGAGTTTGTTGCCAATTGTTTTATGTAAACTTTGACAGTTTATGGATTTCACTTGCTATGGAATGCAGCTCATGAAATATATGTGCACAACAAAGGAATTTGTAACATTTCTTTATGGTCAGCTTACATTATAATGTAATAGGTCTTTTGTTTATGGATCTTGGAGAGATAGGGTGGGATAGTATGGACTGGTTTGATCTGGATGAGAATAGGGAACAGCAGTGGAGGGCCCTTGGGAACACAGTCATGAACCTTCGGGTTCCACAAAATTTCCAGAAATTTTTGAGTTCCTGAATGACTGGCAGCTTCTCAAGAAGGACCCAGCTCCTTAGAGTTGGACGGTTGCTCACATAGATCGATCATTTAGTTTACTGCTCATACCTGAATGCATAATATATGTGCACCCTTATCTTTGTTGAGTAAAAATTAAGACCCTCACTGTAAGATATTTTATGGCATAATGGTAATATGCTATTGTAAGAAATGTGAAGCTGTTCTGTCAAAAGTATCATCCTAGTCTTGCCAGGTGTACTGGAAAACTGATATTCTCTGTGCTTTTTTCACATTATAATATTCTCCAGCAATTCAAATTCCTACCTGTCTTGTTTCACCATATAAAACTCTTTGCTACTGCTCATACATCCTGTCAGCATAAATAGATCTTCATTTATTTTTGTGTTCCCCTCTCTCAATGCTTCTCACGTCTAGTTATATTTGGCCATAATTGTATTCGCTGTAGTCATCATCATTGGTGTCTTAATCTGTTTTCAAGAAGCCAAGTTATTTACAATAGTAGTATCCTTTAAAAGCACGGTTCCTTGTGTGATGAATAAAAGCCATTCCAAAATGTCGGGTGACTGTAAAGCTGCTATCTTCTAAATAGGTATTTTCGTGAATGGTGTGTGTACAAGGGATGTTCAGTAAGTAAGGTTCCTTAGCCTATAATGCTTGTGTTAATCAAGCATTTTTTTTCTGTATCTGATAACGCTTGATAGGGGTATATGCAACAAATGCAACACTTGGGAGGTCTCCAATCTCACAGTATTCAAGTATAAATGACTGTTGATTGATTGCAAATTGAAGAGCACAGTTTCTACTGCAGAAATGCTTTTAAACACATTTCAAGGTGGGGAGAATGCATCACCGTGATCAGTGATGATGTAGAAAAATAATGTTACTTCAGTACAATAAATGAGCTACATGTAATAATGAGTTCATGTTTAATTTGTATCGCCTGGGGACCTTATGTATTGAACAACATTCATGCCATCTAAATCTGTTTATATTGTTTCATAGCATTGTCCTACTTTTTCTCCTTTAACTGTTAAAGTATGTATCTCTGAAGTCAGTCTTCATCTTTCTGATGAACTGTTCTGAATCCTGTTGCTAGGGAGACATTCTGATTTTCTAGTAGAGGGAGTATAATTGTACTTATTATGTACTTGAATTTGTTGTATGAAAATCTAAAAAATCTAATATTTTATATTCTTAAGTGTTTAAAGAAGCATGGATTGTATAAAATCTATAGTTTTTGCTATAATGAAGTGCAAGTCTTCTTGGATAATTAGATGTATTGATACAGAACATTACTGTGACATTATGTAAAATTGTCTCTGTCTCCATGATTAGGAACCAGTATGATTGTGGGAACTGCCCACATGATGAATGACAGAAACCAGTTGTGGTATATGACACAAACTAGTTTATTCCTCTGTATGCGCACATGCACATGTGTGTGCTTTCTAACATAAGGTTTATTCTGTATCAATAAAGCCAGTTATCCAAGAATATTTCATTGCAAATAGATGGAATGTGGAAGCAGGAGTGTTTGAGTAAACCTGTTGTAGCAGGAGGTAAGGAAGAAATTTGCCAAGTCAGTTGTCAAGTGAAGCCACATCACTATGCATTGGGTCCTTAATTGTGCCATATTTGAGTAACACCAGTTCATTTTCTTTTGAAAACAAATTTTATTAAATCTAAATAGATACTACGTTACATTTCCAATTTGTTTGTGTACTAAGAGGGGTGAACTGAGTTGGGAGTCGAGGGATGCTGTGTATTAAGGAACACAGGACACCAAATGATGTTAGGGGGATTGATCAGACATGTAGTTTGGATGAAAATTAAGTTTATACATAATTATGGAAAGTTCTTGCTTGGAAGGACGACAAGAAACAGGAGGATAATACCAGATTGGAGTTTTGATAAATGAGTTATGAGGTTGGGGGTTTTATCTAACAGACACAGGATCTGTTCCTTGGTGCACTTTGGTTTTTGTTGTTTGGAACCTTTGGAATCTGTTGTCAGGCTCTTTCTTGAATGCAACATTTGGAATTTACTGTCATGCCCACTTACATGTCCTGAGTTATATTTTTATTTTGCTCTATGTTGTAAGCACTTACCTCCAATTAGTGCCAAGGTCAAGAAAATGTGGATCTATACATCCACTCCCCATACGCCTTCATGGCATAGTACTTAATTAAGCACAGGGACAACTTTACCTTTATAGGTTGCGAACATTCCTTCGGCCATGTGACATTCATGTGGCTGTGATTTTTGTAATGAATGTTTCAGTTGTTCCTGGGCATTGTACTGGCTGCCGTGGTTATCGTCACTGGTATCTTTTCCTATTATCAAGAAAGCAAGAGCTCCAAAATTATGGAATCTTTCAAAAACATGGTGCCTCAGGTAAGTCATTACTTGTTTCGTCCACATCTGCGTTTCACAGACTTCCATTGCCTAGGGCTCATCGAAAAGACATATCATGCTCCGCAGGCTACCTCCTGCTCTCTTTAAAAGCACCATTGTGAGATTATCATGTCAAAGTTTTTTATTTTTTGTTTTTTGCAAAAGAGTTTCTGGTCATGTTCTAACAGGAAGAGAGCCCTCCACATATTCAAGAAATCCACTTTACACAGAACATTATCTTGGGAAAAAAATTGTGAAGAAACAACATGTCAACACTGAGTTTGTCTGCAGCATGTTCACCCACTGTATGCGTTTAGAAATGTAAAGTTCACAGATGTTAAGAAAATTGTTTTAATTTCTGTATTTTATCCATTCACAAATGTAATACTGGTAGTTTTAAAATTAAATTTAAGAGAAATACATGTTGCTTTATGTCAATTGTACAAAGTCAATTGAAAATTATTTTGCCTGAAGAAACAGCTTTGAGTGTGTTAAACGTGTTTGTGCATGACTGTAATGTACACTTAAGCTTTTGGTAGACATTCATGAAGGAAGTACATAGTAATCAGGCAAATACAATATTATATCTGGATGCTACATTCTGAGGACTGCCCTAGTTTGGGCATATGTGTTAAGAGCACAGTTTTCTACTTTCATACTGACAGATTTCAACAATAAAATGCACTTGCTAACAAGTGGCCTTATCTTCCCAGATTAGTCAGTTAAGTTAGTTAGTTTGTCAGATATACAGGTAGCTAGTATGTGCATGTTGATGAGATGGTAGTATGGCATTGTGGTGCTTGTTACAGTTTGCCACAGTGCTACGAGATGGTGAGAAGTTGACACTGCGTGCAGAAGACATTGTATTGGGCGATGTAGTGGAAGTGAAGTTTGGGGACCGTATTCCAGCAGATATCAGAATCATCGAGTCACGGGGCTTCAAGGTGGACAACTCGTCACTGACTGGCGAGTCTGAACCACAGAGCCGAGGCCCTGAATTTACCCATGAGAATCCACTGGAAACCAAAAATCTTGCTTTCTTCTCTACCAATGCCGTGGAAGGTTTGTTTTGTGTATTATTTTTATGTTCTAAATACTACAGCCCTGCTATTATCTGATGATCCCTTGTATCATTTCCCGGTACCATTTGCTGACAACATGTGTAGGCCAGGTGCATTGCCAGTTGTATGATTTGCTTGCAAGTTCTGGCTGTGCTGTGATTGCTTGAGCTTGCGACTGCACATGTTGCCATCTGATGGTGAAGTTTAATTTGACAGCAGTGCTGCATTGTTTCCCCAGAGCTGGGATGCAGGGACCAGGGATCATCAAATCTTAACAGGATTGTATGTCCATATAACTTTCTGAGAATAAGGCATAGAACTGAATTGGAGGTAACTTTGAGACAAAGCGAAATTGCTCCTGATATACAAGATCAGTAGTTATGCAGGTGAAATTACTCTTTGGTATGTAGCTAATACATCACTTTTCAGCGTATGGACTCGTTTTCATAAAGGAAGGTGGTGTATGTATGTATGATCTTCATGTTACCCAAACCCACTCAAACCATATGACAAATTTGCATAAAATTTGGGATGAACATATGCCATCTGACTTTTTTACTGTCTGCTCATTTTACATGCCGTAATACCTGTATAATAACTGTACAAGCTACTGCGATTGGAGTGATATTAGTGCAAAATAATGTACAAGTCGTGAAATGTTGTGGTCGTAGATATGCAATTTGTTGCTTAATTTTTTTTGTAGAATGCAAGAAACCTGGCTGCACCAAATTTCTCTTTAGCTATCAGATTCATGTTGTAGTTAATGACTCCTTGGATTTGTACAGGTGAATTACTTGTTAGATAGATTGTAACCAAATATTAAAATTCTGTATGAATATTATGAACAGTTTCGAATGCAGTCAGTGCTACTGAGAGTTATGCACATATAGAAGCAATAAATAGACAAAGAACATAAAATTAGTAAGATTGAAGATCGCAGTGCAAGGGTGGGATTATTGTGGCGCTACCCCTAATACAGTCATTCATTCATTCATTCATTCATTCAAGATAACTTATTAAAGTTAGTTCTTGAATATGGTATTTTCACAGTGAAAACTTGGATAAAAGTGTATGAATAAATGCACAACTTCTTTGTATTTGACTGAAACTGAAAAGGTCGTCATCATGCCGTTGTAGCCGACTCTTCTGAATTGTGAACTGGAACAGCATGATGATAATATCTGATTTTTAATTAAGATCTGTTGATGGTATTACATATTACGCCGTAACACAGGTTTTGTACAGTATCAATAACAAATTTTTATATTTTTAGTGAATACTTTAATAGTTAACTAGTTCTCTGATAAATTAGTAGGTGGTGGTGGGCTCCTTCATAGTGACACGTGAATCAATTTCTGTGAGGAATTCAAAAATAGATTGAATTGAAAAAGTGTACGGGTGCTTTGTTTTGTAGAGCAGGTACTAGATGTGAATGGGTGAGAGGTATGTCATGTAGTTCTGTACTGCACTGTGGCCAAAATATGGACTAATATGTTTCAAACTGTTCTTGGAGAATAGTTTTTCATGCAGTTTTGGAAGGTATAGAGTAAATACAGTCCACACAGTAAGGCCAGAAAGTTAGACTGTGTCTCCTCAGCTGGATGAGCTTGGATGGCGTAGTCAGTGTAGCGACTGGCTGTGGGCTGGGTGGCAGGGTTTGGAGTTTGAGTCCTGGTAAGGTCAAGAATTTTCTGTTCTCCACATTGTCCAGACCAGTCCTGGAGCCTACCCAACCTCTTATCCAGTGGGTATCAGGGGTAAAGTGGCAGGGGCGTGAGGCTCACCACTCACCTCCAGCTAGTGCCAAGGTCAAGAAACATGGATCTATACATTCACTTCCCCATAAGTCTTGATGGCATAGTGCTTAATTAGTTAAGGACGGGGACAACTTTTCCTACTCAACTGCAGCACAGGAAAGAACCCTATTGGTAAAAATGAAGTATTGAATACTGCAGCAAAGACATTAACCTGCAAGTAGAAGTGACTGTAACATTCTCTGCTTGCTTGTTCCAGGTACTGCAAAAGGTGTGGTTATCAGCTGTGGTGATCACACTGTCATGGGCCGTATCGCTGGTTTGGCATCAGGTCTTGACACTGGAGAGACTCCCATTGCTAAAGAGATCCACCATTTCATCCATTTGATCACTGGTGTTGCAGTGTTCCTGGGTGTCACATTCTTTGTCATTGCTTTCATTCTAGGCTACCACTGGCTTGATGCTGTCATCTTCCTTATAGGTAATTTGGCACTTTGTCTTTTAATTGTCACAAATTAACTTATAAATAAGTTGAAAAAATGTGTGCTATAGAAATGACATATTTTCTTGAATTTTACTGATCAAATTAAACCAAACTGATTTGCAGTCAAAGCACCATTTTGTAATAATCATTTAAAACTGCAAATGATATCTTGCTTAATTGGGCTGACCTTTTGACTTGGAGTCAGTTGTTTTGAAGGAGTTGGTGAAAGAAATTGTCCACCTGCCTCACCGTTTTATTATTTATTTATTTGAAGTGATTTGCGAATGATAGAAATAATGTCCCCATACACATGTTCCAAGAAGAGGGTTTATTTCAGTTAAAAACAAAATTTTGTTCGTTGATCGTCTGAAAAACAAACTCTGTTAAGGGTCAGTGCTTTTTAAGCTAGATATCGCATGTATGGCATGAAAAGGCTTAATATATTCTAATTCCATTCTGTCTTGTCTGTAGCTATAAGTACTGAAATCTACCAGCCTGAAAATTGATTCCAAGAATAGTAAAAAGAAAATAAGTTTGAGTAGAGCAAGAACCAATAATGCACATGGAGAAGATTAAATATGTATACAAAATTTTAATCAGTAAACCTCTAGGAAAGAAGTCACTTAGGAGACTTATGCATAGATGGGATGTAATAGTAAGACATAGCTTAGAGAAGTAGGATGTGAGGGTAAGGACTAGATAAGGTTCAGGATAAGGTCCATTGGTGTGTTCTTGTGGACATGGTAATGAACCTGAACGACAAGAAATTTGGAATTTCTCAATCAGCTAAACAACTGTCAGCTTATCAGGGCAGCACCTACACTTTCGTGTGGATGGGTGGGGAGGTGATTTGGTTCACTAGTTACTTTTTATGTTAGGTTACACTAGTTAGTTAACTGAAGGTCTAACTTTTAGAAGGAAAATCTGAAAACCAACCCTGCAGAATGACTTTCCTTTATGTAGGTATCATTGTGGCAAATGTGCCTGAAGGTTTGCTGGCCACTGTAACAGTGTGCCTCACACTGACTGCCAAACGTATGGCCTCCAAGAACTGTCTGGTGAAGAACCTGGAAGCTGTGGAGACCCTGGGATCCACATCAACCATCTGCTCAGATAAGACAGGCACTCTGACTCAGAACAGGATGACCGTGGCACACATGTGGTTTGACAACCAGATCATTGAGGCTGATACCACTGAAGACCAGTCTGGTGAGCTGAATGAATGAAGATCGACTTTTTCAGTTCTGTCCTTGTATCATTGTATCACAGTAATTAAGCAGCCAACTGGTTGCCATTATACTGACATTTTTTGTTGTGTACTATTTTTGAGCATTGGATTTCAACATAAGACACACATGTATTGATATTTTCTGTTTTTTATTTTTGTTATTACTGGCATTGCTAGGAACTGAATCCAGAACCTTTTGAATCTTTAAATTGTATGTTAACCAATAGCAGTTTTCCTCAGCCTCCCAAGGATATTTGGGGATTTTACCTTGATTAGGCCACAACTGCTTCGTTCCAAATCTTTTCCAGTTCATCGTTCATCTTGTCATCCATAATGCTCTATAATTTTGCTATTGACTGCATCATAAAACGATCCACAATGAAGGAAATGAACATGTAACTGCCATGGTGACCTTTCAGTGGAAAGTCCTGTCTGGTATGCAAGTTAATCCTTAAAAACTCAGGTCTGGTCTGTGGTAAGTTAACATGTTGTATTTTTAGGTCTGGTGGTCTAGTGCTCAGAGCTCCTGGCTACAGATCCAGGGGCAGGGGTCCCGGGTTCGATTCCCGGCGCTACCAGATTTTCTGAGAAGTAGTGGGTCTGGAACAGGGTCCACTCAGCCTCATGAGGATAATTGAGGAGCTGTTTCAAGGAAGCAGCGGCTCCAGTCTAGGAAACCGAGATTAACTGCTGTGGGAAACCTCTGCGCTGACCACACAACACCTGCAAAAAAGTTGGCACTAACTTCGCTGACAAGTGGCAGTTGCTCGGTTGGCATAGATTGCTTGTGGACTGCAGGTCATGAGGTTTTTTTTGTAGCGTTCTTTTATAAAATTATGTTGGTTGGCAACAATTTTTGTGGCAAGAGCAGTTTCAGAAGATCATAGGTAGGGGTTCCCAACCAATTTTGAATTAGAGATGTTTTATTATGTATAAATTGTACAGGAACAATTCACATGTTCCCAGACTTTAATTTGTAAAGCAACTGGCAATATAACGGGATCAGAGTGCACACTCACCAATTCGCACATGAGTTTTGGTCTGTTAGTAGATGTGTGCTGGAGAAAAGGAAGAAATTCATGTGGAGGAAAAATTTCAGAAAAGGAGAACATGTTACACATTCATCTGAGAAGAAAAGATAAACGCATACTACCACAATTTAGGGTGTGACTATAGACATGGTTTGGATTGGTGAATTGATTTATTGACCACTTTAACACATGACTCGAACTACAAGCAGTTACAGCTCCACTGCTAATCTCAACAATTCACAAATCACCACAGCACCCTCTAAGCCTTCTCCAGCCTGCTGTGTCTTCATTAGTGGTTCCCTGGTAACGGCTTCTAACAGTGGAGATTCTTAGCTTCATGTTCTCAAGTCATCTCTTACAGAACTGATTTGGTCGCCCCAGTTGTCTGCCTTATAACTCCTCGGCAAAGAATGCATAGAAAATACCGTTTCCAACAGTACCTCTATTGTTGCACATTGATTTGTTGCTGTGGGAATGTGTTTACTGAGCCGTTGCCCAGAAACGGCCATAGTATATTCACTCATCTTACGGTCATTGCATAGCAACGGCTCTCCATGCTACAATACATGCCTCATATATGCAGAAAGTCTTTGTACTTGGAATGATCAATGAATTATGTCATTCCTATAATGAGGATGTGTAATTAAGTTGATAGTGCTTTGCGCCTATTAATGCATTTATTTTTGCATTTATTCTGTGTTTGTGTAGGAAACGACCTTGTGATGGCCTGATCCCCCATCCAAGGAGTCCTACTAACTGTCTTAGAATTAAGAAACTGAAATGAAAGCATTTCATGGATGCTCAGTGCTCCAAAGTGGGAGCAACAGAAAAGAGAGAGAGAATAAGCAATAATATATATAGTTATTTTTCACACTGGACCTGGGTACCCTTAGATACAACCCAGACTCTTCAAAGGTTAATCAATCATAAGACTCTGGGTTTGGTTCTGATTACTGCCACTAGTATTGAAAACAAGACGATTGGAAAGCATATGTATACTCTAGTGAAGTATACAAAATAACCAACAGCAGTCTTTTAAGTTTATTGAACGTACTTAAGAGCAAGAATAATGAACTGTAAATGTGTGGAAGTCTCATATTGAATTTCAGCAAGTCTGTGGAAAGGTTTATGGATGCTTGAAAGATTCAGTGTATGGCTTTATGTAACTTGGCTCTGTAATGTATCAGTATGGCTGAAAATCAAAAGTGCCTAACAGTGATTCATGGAAGTCTCATATAATTTCAACAAACTGTGTGAAACGGTTTATGGGATTCATGAAAACGTTCATTTGTGTCATGTAAACCAGGCTTTATTATGGATCAGTATGGCTGAAAACTGCAGTTTCCCTGCAGCATTTCTTAATAAAAGTTTTGCATATCAGATGTGAAGAATCTGCAGGGGTTTAGGTTGTGATACTATATCACAGACACATTCTCCACATAATGCTTTGTTTTGGTTTGTAAAGAATGCCTAGAGACCAGTAAAACATGTCATGGAGAATGAAGACAACCAGTTATGTGAAGACAAGGGGTACAGCCAGCTCCCAAAGCAATGTGTTTATTAAGAATTGGTGAAATTGGGCAGTGTCCAACATGATTGTAGAGTAATGAGTCAGCCATTGCCGCATGCCTTTAGAGAATATTTTCTGTACCATGTCATGCACGAATTTGTTTGAAATTTCAGGTGTTCAGTATGACAGAACTAGTCCAGGTTTCAAGGCGTTGGCAAGAATTGCTGCTCTTTGCAACCGAGCTGAGTTTAAGCCTGGTCAGGATGGTGTTCCAATTTTGAAAAAGTAAGTGTGGTATAAAGTATGAAATGCATTCTCTTGTTATAAGTGGACCTCATAGAGGTTCTTCTGTTGGCTTTAATGTGACATTCAGTAAATTGTTTTATACTTCAATGTCTGGTCGAATCCAACAGTCTTGAAAGTAAAGCAAACAGGTTGATATTATTATGTGTCACATATCAAAATTCATGAGCCTGAATGGGTTAACCTTGGCCTTGGATGGAGGAGAGTAGTAGTTTTAGAGCAGTGTATTAATGATGTCAACGTCCACAGGGAAGTGAATGGTGATGCGTCAGAAGCTGCATTACTCAAGTGTATGGAGCTTGCCTTGGGTGATGTGATGTCCATCCGTAAACGCAACAAGAAAGTCTGTGAAATTCCTTTCAACTCGACGAACAAGTATCAGGTGTCCATCCATGAAACAGAAGATGCTAATGATCCTAGACATCTGATGGTGATGAAGGGTGCTCCAGAGAGGATTCTGGACAAATGTTCTACTATCTTCATTGGTGGCAAGGAAAAGGTTTTGGATGAAGAGATGAAGGAAGCATTCAATAATGCATATTTGGAGCTTGGAGGCTTGGGAGAACGTGTGCTTGGTGAGTTAAGCATTACATTACAGTATCTCTTGAAAACTGCAGGACATGCAGAATGCGATGGAAATCAGAAATGCATACAAAATGTTGGTTATAAGGTTTGAAGAATACCAGCTTGTGGGACGTGACACAATATAATCTGGTAGAAATTTACTGAGATTAAGGAGGAACGTAGGTAGCCTTCTACCAGACTGTGTAGTGCCACATCACAGAAGATAGTGCTCATCATAGTCACTGCCATGAGAATCTTAAATCTCACATAAAATGTGAAATTTAGAGATTACATGAGAGAGGCAGATGTATGTTAGAGAATAATATTAAAATGTATCTTGGAGAAACAGGTGGTGGGTGTGGACTGAAGATAAAGTCTGGTGATGTGTTTTACGAATCTAATGATGAACTTTGAATTTTCAAATCTTACAGGTTTCTGTGACTATATGCTTCCAACAGACAAGTTCCCACTAGGGTTCAAGTTTGACTGTGATGACCCTAATTTCCCACTCACTGGACTTCGTTTTGTGGGCCTCATGTCAATGATAGACCCTCCACGTGCTGCTGTACCAGATGCTGTAGCCAAGTGCCGTTCTGCTGGTATCAAGGTTATCATGGTGACTGGTGATCACCCTATCACTGCCAAGGCGATTGCCAAGTCTGTAGGAATCATTTCAGAAGGTAAAGTTATGATTTTTCATAACAGATTTGTTTGTATATGCGAAATAAGTGAAAATGTATATGCCACTGGAATGTACATATTTTCAAGATGGATTCTTCCTATTATGAATATGTCATTGTCCTTGAGCCGTTGATGTTTCTTTATTCAGATATAAATCTGTTCTTTTAAAGGTAATAAGTAGGCATGTATGAGTGGTCAAACAATCAAGATTGAACATAAATAGGATGGTTCATTGTGAAAAAGTGGTGCTTTGATACCCATCGCTAGTGACAAGTGTTTAAGCTAGTTAAAATGGACCTGAGGTGGCCAAAGGAAAAAGAACAGTAGACAGAAAGGGGAAGGCTTAAGTGCCATCACCCTCACAATCCATGGAAATTCTTTCTGTGACCTAGGTAGTTATTTTGTGTATAATTTTCTTGATTTAACTACCCTAACAATTTGCTGTTTTGTAGCCTCCATTCTGTGTTTACTTCAGTTCACTTTGTTCCACACAGGCCACTGTGATATCCAGTGTTCGTATATTTTCCTAAGAATTTTGTATTTATATGTGTTCTTTGTGCTAAGAACATGAACTTAGGTCTGATGCATGTTGCGTCTCTAAACTTAAAGAATGTCAGTAAAATTCATTAGGGGACTGCACAAAACCTGTTGTTGGACTATTTAATTTTGGTCTGTACCATCTGACCAATGATTTTAAATGCAGAAAAGTAATTGAACATTATCTTAAAGATGTCATTGTAATGAAGCTACTTCAATAATTATTACCTTATCGGTAACTTTATTAAAAGAATATATTCACCACCATGAAGAGACATCTCTTTGAACAAGGTAGTCCTGTAACTAACCATTTAGACAGAAAATGGTGAAATCCAAGCGCACAGTTTTCTGTCATGTATGTTATAATTGTAATGATTATTTTTTAAGAGACTAATGTACTGAATATTTCCAGGTAATGAAACTGTTGAGGACATTGCTCAGCGACTCAACATCCCCGTGGCTGAAGTGAATCCTCGTGAAGCCAAGGCTGCTGTGGTCCATGGAACTGAGCTTAGGGATTTATCTTCAGACCAGCTTGATGAAATCTTGAGGTAAGATCTTATTATCTTCAGATGAGTAGCTCAGTAATTGATAGTCCAGGAATCCCAAGGCATGTGTTTTAACAGAAAGTTAATGCATTGAAACCTTGATTTTACACTTTTAAGGGACCACCTAAAATGAATGTAAAATCAAGGAAACTTAAAACTGGGGAAATGAGAATGGTTTGCTGTAAAGGAAATTTGTTTTTTATGTGGTAACTTTGGAAGATCGTATACAAATGCATGTTAGAACATTTAACTATGTATGTGGAAATATGGTTCTTGGTTTATTTTATGATGCTTTATCAGCTGCTGCTTTTATGTGGCAGCAGTAAAATGAGATGGTGATTCTAACTGATGAATGAAAAGGTTGATGAAGAAAGTGGTCGTAGTCTGTTTCAATGTATTATCTCAACATTTGCCTGGATAGACTGAAAAATACGGTGCATAGGTAGTTACACACTTTCCTTTTCCCAGCACCATTTTATGTTCTCATATTCACTGGTATAATGACAGGAATCTTTAAACATGTTACGCTGTCAATGTTATAGATACCACACTGAAATTGTGTTCGCCCGGACTTCACCCCAGCAGAAACTTATCATTGTGGAAGGTTGCCAGCGAATGGGGGCCATTGTAGCTGTGACTGGTGATGGTGTAAATGATTCTCCTGCCCTGAAGAAAGCTGACATTGGTAAGGCGTAGCTTAAATCGGTATTTGTGTATGTGTGTCACCCATTGAGAATTCAGCAGGAAGTCTCGTAAGCGTTATTAAGCTGTCATGCTATAAACTTCCCCTGCTTTCTCCCCTATTCCTTCCTATTCTTACATGTTATGGAATGATTCATCAAGGCAAAAGTTTAATGCCATTTCCCATGAATAACGCAAATAATCAATCATAAACCATCTCCTTTATGTAGTATAACACATTTCACAAATCCAAATCAATATATTATCAGTAGTAATAAGAGCAGACACAATACACTGAAACAAGAGATGGCTCATTCATTTGCAACTTATATATAATTTATGTTCACGAAATGTGTTCAAATATAATTGTACAACGTTGTAACCTGCTTTTGTGTCTCTGTATTAGGACCAAAGCATTCTTGGCTAGTAACTAAACATTTAAAATATAGTAGTTTCTGATTTACGTCAGGAATACATTCCTAGAAATGGCAGTGTACACCAAAATTACATACTTGACACATACTTGGTTACAGCACCTGATCAAAATGACATTATGTAGGTCAGGAATGAAGTTAAATCTGATTCCAGCATCATTTAACGATATTACAGTGAAACAACACAAATTGAGTGATGTAAACAGGACATTACCTGAGTAAACACAAGTATTTCTTACACAGTTTCATTAATTCATTCTTATCGAGACCTCAGTGGCTCTTTGTCCATATCAGACCGATATCCTTCTGTTTCGTGTGTGTGGCACGTGCACGTAAGTTTGTAGGCTAACATTACACTGAAGGTATTCCAGCTGTATTTTCCATTACAGATTAAATTGCAAAGATGGTTGTGTGTAGAAGTATCTAAGCAGAATGTCAGAAGAGCAGTTACCTTATTGCATTTTGCATTTCCATTCATGAGGAGGAAGATATCGGCAGCCCTTGTAAATGCTGGGATAACATTTGTAAAGTAACAGAATATTTTACAAGAATTTTGCTGCCATGTATTGTATTGCAAATGATCTTATACATTTACTGGGGTTGTGATGTGTGTTTCAGGTGTTGCTATGGGCATAGCTGGATCTGATGTTTCTAAACAAGCAGCTGACATGATCCTCTTGGATGATAACTTTGCATCTATTGTGACTGGTGTTGAGGAAGGACGACTCATCTTTGACAACCTAAAGAAATCCATAGCTTACACCCTGACATCCAACATTCCTGAGATTTCACCCTTTTTGGCATTCATCCTGTGCGACATTCCACTGCCCCTTGGAACTGTCACTATTTTGTGCATTGACTTGGGAACTGACATGGTAAGTTGACTGTTATAATTCACAGTTATTTGTAAATCAGAAGTTCAAATTCTTAATTGTTTTGGACATAAAATAATGATTGATGACAACCGTGGTGATGATGATAGTGTTGAAGATAATGGTAGATATTTGAAAGGGAAAATGGAGGATATGTAGTTACACAAAATTTTATATCCATGAAGTGAATAGTGAAGTTGCATATTAGAAAGATTGGGTCTAGTCATTTGGAGGAAATTTTATTAATTCTGTGAAGTATTACTGTTTGCTATGTCATTTAAATTCACTGTATGTCAGCATTACTACCAAGCCAGCTAATTTAAATGGCCAACATACATTTTAAGTACAGTAAGGGATATACATTTAATTTTGCTGTTCTGCTATGTTAGGTACTACAGAGGGTTAAATTATTCATTGACCTCTCATGAGAGGTACCATGTAAATAAGTGCAAACATATAGCAATTTAACATACAGAGTTGGTAGATTATATATGTACAGAATGCAGAATTAATCACATTTCCTCCACATAAGTCTTATCATCATAATAAACATAACGTTACCTTCTAGATTTTTCTTTCATGGAAAAATGCATCTTTGGTCTGGGAAGATTGTGTCCTATATGGGTGTGATGCTGCAGTATATAGCAGAAGGCATGCAGCTTGCTTTTGCAGCTTCCAGTGAAGGATGTCAGTTTGCTTGCCATTATGGTCACTTTGATTCAACATTTCACTGCTTTATGAAAATTTTTTTTTAACTTAATTGAGTGTCCATGTAGGTTTCTCCATTGAAGTGTAATGTTAAAGAAGTAGGTACATACAGTGATTCTCAAACTTTTTGGTCTTGGTACCCCTTGAAACAGGCAAACAAATCTCTGCCCCCCCCCCCAAGAAAACATGGAAAAGGCATAGTTTATTTTTTTAAATATTTTTGTTATATATAATTAAGCAATTATCACCTTTAAATTTGTCATATATACAGGTTTGTTCCAAGTTAATTCAAAATAAATGTAATACACTCATATTAACAGTTTTCAATGAGAATGCTGAAAACGAGGACCTGTTAGTAACCCTAGGTGTACCAGTACTGCAGTTTGAGAAATACTGGCTTAGTAGTAGGTACGTACTTAATTTATTTTACAGGCTGTGGCAGATTTGATTACTTCAGGGGCACTGAATTACATAAAGACGAGTGTATGATGCCAGTTTCTTATAGCATTATATTCCAGGATGATTGGAGATGTTCACTTCATTCCTATCATTAATTATCAAATCCTTTTTAATATTCCATTCTTCAGTTTATTTAATCTTCCTGCTGTTTACTTATATCTAGTTAGTATATCCAAATTTCTTTAAAGTTTTTTGTAAATAGTCAAGATTTTATATAGTGTTTGTTTTAATTATCCATATTCTTTATCCATTACAATGAGTACTTTCAGTAACCTTGCTCCATTATGTCTGTCAGTTTCTTGTAGTAATATAGAGTGTTGTAGCAAAACTGCACCAACAGGAAGCCATGCATGCTGTCTGTGATTTTAATGTGTACTGCTTATGATTATTTTGTGTAAGTGTATTTTGTAAAATCCATTGTTCCTGTTAAAAATGTTCAATTCAATTTTTTAAAATATGCTTTTGATGGTTAGTATTACATTATTATATTAAACCACCACCTAAAGAGTGTCCAGTCTTGTAGTAAATTAAAGTAACAGTGAATCCACACTTTCTGCTGCCTATTCTGCTAACCTCTGGCTCTTATCAACAGGCACAGTGTATGCTTATTACATTATTGTGATTTCATACATACAAATTTATTTATTTTATCATCATTCATAGATGCATTCAGGTACATGACCATTGGATATAGAAATTATCAGTAGAGTACATTAATATGTTATGTAAAATTGGCTTAACATAAGATAAATAATAATTAAAATATTGTCGCGTATCGGGGGTATATCGCGACAAATAACTTCACGCCGTATTTGGTATAGCGAATCTTATTTCACATTCGCACTTACAATCACCCAAATTACAGATTTACGATTACTGCTATCTGCAGTATCACAAATAGTACACTCCAAATGCCACAAGACAACTGACTAGTTGCTGGCTAACTTGGAAATAACTCGGAGGTAGCTCAAGGACTCACTCGGCGGTAGCTCCAGGACTGGCTGTGAATAGCCTTCGCTGCTCCTTATGTAGCCTCGGTCAGACAATTGTCGTCTGGTGCCGTGTTGCTAGCCACGCTGTCCGGAGTTGTTGACTGCTGCCTAGCAACCGCGATATCCCTCGGTGACGTCACCGCTGTTGACTCACTTTGCATAGCTTCAAGGTTGCGGGGACTCGGCGAA